ACTCACAGAAAGGGGATTTGTTATTCTCATTATAAACTCTCAGGGATCTGATTTCCTCAAGCCCATCACTCGCAGATAAGTGGCGAATGGATATCAGCCAGCATGTCGCTCCTCATCTCCATTCCCCGCTGGTAAAAGCCCTTTAAGAACAGCCATGAAAAACCAGCGAGAGAGTTTGTGAAAATGCATCAGAGAATTGGAGGGAAGGGGGGGGGGGGACTGGCGAGAAGAATAAAAGACAGTGAGAAAGAAAGACGGAGAGACAGACGAAGAGAGTTGCCAACATGTAAAATTGGAACAACATGAGCTCATTCCCCAATAACATGGGGCACAGAATGGGAATGAGAGACAGACAAAGACAGAGAGAGACAGAGATGGGGAGAGGAGGGTGGCAATGAGCAAGAAAAAGAAGGAAAGCAAAGCACATCTACCAGAAGGAATGATGGGGTTGTTAGTGGTTTGTGAACCAGATGAAACATTTTAACCAATTTGATTGTTTGTGAAAGAAATCATTCTGATCGAAACCCCAATTGCTGCCAACTGGCTGCCTGGCGTGTCTCAGGGTAATGCAGCCTGACGTGCCGGGGTAAGAGGAGAGGCTTTAGAGCCAGGAGGAGCAGATGGGGGAGGTCAGTGCTCGCTCCTCGACTTCAAACACGGGGAAGTGTAAAAACAGACTATTTTAGGGGCTAAAACAACTAACGACAGGATTAGAGGAAGTCCGCTAAGTGGCCTTGAGATGTTGCAGTTTACTTCGCCCCAATACAGGACTGAGGTAAAGAAGCAAGCTGACTACCAGCGCTCTGCCAAAAAACATATCTTTTACCCCCAGAAGAGTCAGAACTGGTGTCAACCGCCACGAGGAACACAATATCTATGATACTGCAGAGAGCTCTGGCTTGTACCGATTTGATAAACCCCACCCATCTGGTACAACAAGCATATTAAATTAAACACTTAGTAGTGTTTGCAGTACTTCTAAAAGTAAGTCTATTACTCTGAGTCTCCTGAAGAATGGATCCAACAACAAACACCTACTACACATTCATAACACCCATCTGTTGGCTTGTTTCTGGAGCTTTCAATCGTATCACACACCTTCATCAGCTGGCCGTTTTATATGAACACTTGTTGTCACATGACCAAATTGTATACAAGGGTCGCAATAACAACTGTGCAAGTTCCATTTACTGAAGAAGGCCAAGGGATACAGTCAAAAACCCCAGAAAAAGCTAGGAAGAAAACCTTGAGTTTAGAATATTTTACAGAAACACTAGATAAATTGTGTGTCTTCATTTCACAAGCTTTTTTTTTAAAGTGCAGAATGTTGTATAAACACTCACAATTCATCAGGACAAGTTACACTATGCAGCAGCTAAAAACACATTTTTTAAATGCTTGTTGTACATATAACTGCAGGTTTTCTTCCTTATCTATCTTTTTTTTTAGCACTTCAATTATTTTTCACTTTTGTTTCTGGTTTAAATCATTGATGTAGCCTACAGTGCCCTTGGGTGGCTTGAAAAACACTTATTAATATTAATAATCTGCAAAGGATCCTCAAAAATCCTTTATCAAATGGCACAAATGACATAGGGCACCAGCCTTGAATTTACCAAAATGTGTCTGTAGAATAAAGTAACAATTTGGCAGTGACTGCTTGTTTAGAATCACTCTTGTTCGGTTACTCTCTGATTAAACAGTTCCTCATATGAATCATAACTTTGTTTGGTTTAGACTGTGTGTTATTTGGGCCACGTTCTTGATCAGCTGCTCGTGTTGAGACAGCGTTAAATACTGATGCACTGAGAAGTTTGGCTTGTATTGTGAAATGGGAACATTTTTATATCACGGTCTGAGAAACAGGTGATTCAGTCAAATTAACAGAGATTGTGATTACAAGTTTTTGAAAGAATGAAAAGAGTTTAAAACTGACACTTTGTCAGATTATTTAATGAATACATGGGCACAAAGGAAAAATGTGTTATGCAAGTACATTTCATAGTGTATATCACTTGTCAGGTTTTTTTGTGTGTCAATCATATTTTCTGTTTTTATATTTTGCATAATGTGCTAAAATATTAATTGATTCAAAAAACATGTTGATAGGTAAGTAGTAAGGGATTTAGAAATGTTTTTGGTATTATTGGTATTGCAATTCAGGTACTCTGTTGACACCATTATATTTTGCATTTGCAGTCATTTAAGCTTTATATAAAAACTACTTCATTATGTTTCATAGCAACATAAAACTTCACATGCAGTAACACTTTATTACGGCTTCCAGTATCCCTATTTTCCATTTTTTTTATGTGAGGTCCCCAGTGTGCTCTGTCTTAGTTAGAGTCTGATCACGCATGTACCATTGATCAGTGAGGAGGAATAATGGCTTCTCTTATAAATGACAACCTTTCGACAGTCAATAATGCTTTTCTTTGCAGGTAAGAACCAAAAAAGAAAATCCAGGAACCAAAAGGAACCAGTGAAAGCAGAGAGGAACCCGCCCCATGCTCCACCTGCAACCAATCAGCGTATAAACACATGAATTTGTGCGTTTCCGATGGTTAGCGAGCTGGCCGTGCGTCTGGTGGTCTGCGTCCAGATCCCCATCAAACAAACCCCCAGCCAGCGTACAACAGCCCCCTGAAGACCACAGTGGATCACAGACGCAGACAGATTTCAACCGCTACAAAAACTGAAGAAAAAATGAAATGTTTCATCGCAGACTTTACCAGCCGTCTGGAATAACAAACTACAAACTTTGAAGCAGATGTCAGCTGCCTGTGTGTGTGTTCTTTCTTTCAAGAAAAACTAATATACACACTCTAATCAGCTGCACAGATTTTGTGATCCCAGGGAAGAGTTAGAACTGTTCATCTCAATAATTTGAGGGACAAAATAATTTTTATCTGACTTGTATGTTCTTGTATGCAAGGAACAGAAATCAGACACACCCACACCTAATCTAAACGTACCTGTCTATATAATGACTTAACTGTCAGCCTTACCTAAATGTAATCTTAGCCTTAAATCCAAATCTGAACCCAAAACTAAACCAAAGCAAGCGACAAAACAACCTAATTTTTACAAAAAATGTCCATAATTCAATGATGTAACATTTAGTCTAAAAAGATTAGAAGTACATTGACATAAATATATGCACACACACCTGATTAAAGGTTTTAAAGTGAAGCTCTTTGAAGATGGCATCACGGTCCTCCACCTCCATCCAGCCAGTGGCCCTGAGCTCCATCACCAGCTCCTCCCGGGCTGCAGGGGAGAGCCAGTGGGAGTCCGACGACTGGAGGCAATCACACACAACCAGTGCATTAGTTGTTTTGTCATAGTTATTACATTGGTATGAGCACTTGTTCTGTGTTTAATTGCAAACACACAGTCTGCAGTGTTTGTTTCAGTTGTAAAACAGGGAATTCATTATTACCAACATCACATCTTAACAATTAACATTTTGACTGACAAACCACATTATTGTCAGTGGTTCTTGGTGTTTATTTTTTAGATTTCTTCTAACCCAAGGTCATTTAATTGCAAACGTGCAGGTCTGCCTTCACTGACCTTGTGAGTGGAATCACAGGTTTTAATTTTCCTGGTGCTATAAGCACTGCGCCCGCCAGGTGGCAGCCTAGCACCAAAAATGAGTACTAACGTTGGCTTAATTATTAAGCAAACAAGCAATAGCCTCACAGAAGTCACATTAGTATTTACCTGTATGATTACTGAATGTGAACTCCATGTGTCCACCTTAAAAAAAAACCACACCAAACTTAATTTATAATTCTGAATCAGTTTAATATTGGCCAGCTTATTAACAACTTCATTTATAAGGCTTGAATTGTTACAACCCACACACGTCAGACCTTGACTTCGCAATCTTCCACAGTACTGAAATCCCAAATAACGAAATAATAAAGTAGCCTAAACGTTTGGGGTAAAGCACCACTGATGAATTCATAAAGTTTTAAATTTCTAGTTAATACTGTCTGGCGATTTATATCCACCAAACTAATTATGACGAACTTAAGAAAACGTCCGATGCAACTGAAATACGTCACAAATTCTGCTACATATGCGCATCGGTTCACAGCTACATGTGTAAACCTTTAATTTTGAGTTTTTCTAATGGAGTTTGGCGTGTGTTTTCCTCTAAACGACAAAGGACGGTGCGGATCATACGGGGCTTTCGCCACTTGCCATTTCAGCGCCCAGAAGTTTGTACGGCGCTTGGCTTGTCTCGTGAGACTACACTCACACCTAACAGCAGCCTCGCGTGCAGTACGTAGATAAGATGCTTATAAATGCTAACGCTAAGAGACTGGCTGTCAGTGCAACACTCACCATTTTAGACGAGTTGTTCCTGGAGAGCGGAGGCAGCAGCAGACTGCTCAACCGGCACAGATGGCTGCGGGGCCATGAGCTGCCCGTCCTCATGCTAAACATTAACCCAAACATAACCAGCGCTTTGTCTGCTGTCCCTCTGTTCCACTGTCACCTCTTCTGTTCCTTGCTTGTCCTCTCACACTTCACCACAGCTGTTCACTTTACTGCCTGATTAAAATCCCAAATAATACATGAGAGTCTGGTTATGCCAAAGTGATATTTCATAGTGATGCAGGAGGTCTTGCAAACCAGATCGTCTCGTCACTGATCATGAACACGTACATTCAAAGAAAATCAATTATGATTCCAGAAGATTATTAATGCATTATTAGTTCTGAAAATATAATATGATGCAACACCATTTATGTTAGCTGAAAAAGGTGGATAAGTTCTTGTGTTAGAAAAAATGTAATGAAATCAGTGTGATGTGGTACAGGTCACTGCAGCTTTTGCTTTCTGTGATCCTCCTACCTCACATTAATAAAGTAACAGTTTGTACTTTGCACTGTTTCATTATGGCTGGAAATGTACATTGAAAACAAACACAGGCTCATAGTTTTGACATGTGTAATACAGCCGACAGCCCTGAAATGTAAACACCCAAAAATCATTATATTCTTTATTATAAATCACAATGGCTCAAATAATTAATTTTGTCCACCAAACACTTAAAATAAGCAAATTAGCAACTGTTATCAAATAATGTTTACATCTAGTGACTTGTGGCTGTTTGTGGGTGTGTTTTCAGTCCTGATGTTCATGCTCTTGTCCGGGTATGAGCCAGCGAATGCTGTCTGTCCGCAGGATGGCGTACAGTGTGAAGCCTGTGATGAAAAGGATGGAGAAGACCAGCAGCCAGTCGATGCTCTTCACTGGGACGCTGGGGAGGGGGCCCAGGCGGTCTGCGTCAGTCACGTTTCTGTCAGGGCCAGCTTCAAACCCTGGAACAGATTGTGTCTCTTAGGGAATACAGCTTGCTTAATGAGCAGTGTTGGAATATACAGACGGGGGACAAATTAAAGGAAAAACCAACATGAAGTGTCTCAGTAAAGTGTTGGGCCACAATTTGAGCTATTTCTACTCCATTTGTACCTGTCTGGTTGGCGATGAAGGAGGTGAGCATCTCCAGTGTTCTGTCTGTGTGGTTGAAGCGAGCCATGGGTTTGGCCCCCTGAAACAGAAGGATGTTGGGCACTGCCACGGTCCCGAACCTCGTGGAGAGGCTGGTGGAAAATATCGAGCCGGTCAAGACACAAGAATTACAAATAATGATCCAGTTTTAAAATATTCACCAGAGCTGCTGATCTGGTTTCCATACAGAATGATCAATCTAAACATAAAAATGTTCTTACTAAATATTATAATGTTCAGTAATGGTTGAAATACTTTCCAAAACCTGCTAATTGAATTCTATGGTGTTTTTTGTAGCTGTAGTTATTGGTGATGCTGCACTGCCATTGTATTGAAATGTGTTTCTGATATTTTGTGCAACCCAATTTAGATACATGAGGAGTATTACAAATGCCTCTTAGTACAATACAATTCATATCTTAAATAGCTTTGTAAGCTCTTGTAAGCCCTCTCTAAGGCAGAGGTCCCCAACCTGAGGGAAGATAAATCCAAGGGGCCAGCAGATCATTGAATGAATAAAGAAACATTTCTCTCATTTTTTTAGGCCATAACCCTTGATGAGGGATCAAAAACAGATATTTTGTGACACAGGTTTAATGTTTAAGTTTATAGTGTGTGAGAAAAGAATCTTCATACATTTATTTATTTTTTAAAGGGTTATGAACCAAAAGGGTTGGGAACTACTGGTCTAAGGGTAGAGAGAGTTTTTGGTTTACACAAAGTTGCTTTTAATAGGATTTTCTATACCCAAAAACACAACAACAAAAAACACTCACATGCACACACACAAGTATTTTCAACCTTGAAATACCTTTTTGATAGATCCCTAATCCAATTAACTAGTTTACTAGCTGCTAATGTAAGTTAAGCTAAGCTAATGTTACCTGAGCCACAGACAACAGGGTAATTTCCTCAAAGCCCTTTTAAAGCGGGCTTTCACAGGGGAAGAATGACACATTCTAAAACCATTCACCTGCTGTGTTGAGAGGCATCAAGTGCAAGGAAGTGCATGCTGGGAAAGACTCGGGGCAGGGCGTTGAAGTGAGGTGCCAGGCTGGCTGAGAACTGGCACCAGGCAGTGAAGAACAGCACCACAGAGCACTCTGTGCTGTTAGCATTCAGGTACTCCATCAGGTCCTGAGAGAAATGAGGAGCAGGGACAGGGATTGAGGGATGGGTTTAGTTTTCTCCTTATGAGAGAAACAGACAGTTCACTCCTCTAACATCTTTATCTGAGGAATAATACCAAATGTCTGTGTGGACTTTTTTACCCTGACAGTGAGACAACTACTGTTGGTGCCAAGCAACAAAGTGCTCATTAAACAAGCATCAATAATCAAGTTTTGTGAATGAAGTTTAAAATACAACACTAGTGTCTTAGGTCTATTAGAATGAAGCAAAAGGGTTAACAAAACAACACAAAACTAGATTTTGAATGAATTCGGAATTCTAACATTAGGCTACCAATATCATGAATGTATGATTAGAGAAATGTTGGCAAATTTAAAAAGTGTGTTAAGTACTAAGTTGTCTTAAAAGTAATTCATTAGGAAAACGGCATTCAGATGTGTAGTGTTAATGGCACTCCTCAACTAGTGAGCCTCAGGGGGCAACATGAATACCTGCGAAGCGTTGAGGACATGCACAGTGAAACTGTCCATTCCTGTGATGTTCCTCTTATCACAGTTCACCTTGTACGTCTTTGCAGTTTCCGTGGTGTTCTGTTCCTCTGTTGCCGTGACGTCCGCACGCACAATGTCAAGAGTGACCTGGTGGTAAACAACCAAGGAGAAGTCAACTGCTGGGTACCCAATTCTTCATTGTATTTATTCTATCTGACCTTACCTGAGGCCTACAGAACTGGTGCTCAGAATAACATGAAAATATAAAATCTAAACCAAAACAAAGTTTAAAAGGGAAACCACCACCAATTTTACTCATGATAATCACTTTACTTTTCACAATAAATACCACTGAGCCTCTGGTAACAGATGTTTTCTGTTGTTGTGGAGGGAACTTTCTGAAGTATGAGAAAATAACCCGGATTATTTCATCAGGCCTTGAGACTTCAAATTCTTAACACACCGTGTGTTACAGAATGGCGGCAAGGACTTTGAAAGACTTGGTCCTATACCAGCCAAAAATCTATTTAAAGATGCTATTGATTATAAGCGCAAGTTCCAGCATTTGTGAAGCTTGACCTGTTATAAGGACTAATGAGTCAGGATATGTCTGCCTCTCCTGCACTAACTCTGAGCAATCTCTTTCTTTTTCCTTGAAAAAAAAAACACTATTCTTAAAAACTATTCAATACTTAAAACAAAAAACATTAATCAAGAGAAAAATAGGCAAACATGCAAAATAATATTTCTATTATTATTTAGTCTTTATTTGTATATTGGAGATACATCTATTATGCCATAAATTTCTTTGTGAGTACCTCTAAATTAAAAGAGTACTTTACTGATTTACGGTTCCAACCTTCAGACTGAGAACCACTGATCTCAGTGATTTACAAGAGTATGTATTTACTCTGTTTACCAAGTATGTTGCCATCCATTCATAATCATCTGCTGCCAGAGTGGCGTTTAATTTTTGTGACATTCATCTTCATCTTGCCACAACGGGCAGCAGCAACAAATATTCTCTGGCCATTTTTACTGAACAATTCACCATGTTGATGTGAGGGAAACTTCACACAACAGTTGCTCATCACCAGCCAAAGCCACACTGTAGTAGCATTTTAGAGGAGGTGTCTACTCCTTGCCCACACTTCTCATCAAGCTGCAATTTGCAAAAACTCCCATTCACATCTCCTCCTCATAGTGCTTCTAGTCACCAACCTGCTGCGACATTTCAGTGCTCGTCTCCTCCAGCAACACTCCTTTAGCAGCCAGAACAGGTGAACCACACTGGGCACTGTTCTCATCACAAGGGGGGGAGAAGCCTGACTGGAAGTCTTTCACATTTTTTGGGAAGAGGGACTCGATGTCAGATGGATCAATGGGGGTTTCAGTGCCCATCACAGCATCTGCAATCTCAGCTGTCTTGAACTGCCGCTTCGGCAGAGACTCCAAATCTTCTGATTCCACAAACTTGGGGCTGTTCTCCAAGTCAGAAACTGCATCATCTGACAGCATGAGCTCCAGCGATGCATCATTCTCTTAAAAAATTAAATAACAACACGTGAGTCTAGAACAAATTAGGGCTGCAACTATCAATTAGTTTAATTATCAATGGATCTGATAATTATTTACTTGATTAATCAATTAGTTGCTATCAATTAGAGAATGTCATACTCCAAGGTCCAAGGTGACCTCGTCAAATGTCTTATTTTGTTTGATCAACTAACCCAAAGACATCCAGTTTAGAGGAACAGAGAAAAACAGAAAATCCTCACATTTGAGGAGCAGGAACAACACTGAGGAGCAGACAGAGGTAACTGCCTCCTCTACTGGTAAGGTTGGGACATTTTGGCATTTTTGCTTCAAAACCTACCTAAAAGATTAATTGATTATCAAAATAAGTGCAGATTCATTTTCAGTTGATTAATAAATCATTTAATCAACTAATTGTGTCAGTTCTAAAGCTAAAGTGTATGTTTATTAAAATTTTTAAAGTTTACAAACACATTTTGATAAAACAAGAAAGAACACTTTTCAGCTGGTGTTGAGTTAACATGATCTAAGCTAGGTGATGTATATATTTTCCTGAACTTTTATATTTCTTCCTTTCAAGGATTTTTAATCCAATTTAAATGTTATTTAGCGTGAGTGTATCACTAGCTTATCAACCAAAATCCCACGTCAATTGATAACGATAATATGTAGGCTATACACCTTTATTAGCAGTGTACAACATCTCTAATCTCAGCTAGTTTGGGGTAATGAACACAGTACGATGATAAAACATTACATTACCCTAAAGACATCTGGTTCATATTTTCAAAACAAGAACACCAAACTGAGAGTAATAAAAAACTTGTTGACATTAACAAATATCACGTTAGCGTGAAATACAAACTGTCAGTTCGCAGTGTTTTGCTAACACTGTGTAGCTAACAAGCGGCTGTCAGTCTCTTACCTTGTCCTGTCACGGACGGAAGCCTAAAAACACCAGAATGATGCAACACAGAAAATAAGGCACAGGAAACGTAAAGCTTGTTCAATATCCTCGCCATATTTTTCTAATGTATCCAGTTAGACACAAATATGAATGGTTATCACGACATGTTGATATGCGAGGTCATGTTGTACAGCTCATAGGAACCAATGTTTCGAGCTTTGGCGGAAAAAAATAAATGGTGCACTTCCAACTTCCGGTAATCAAAATAGTAGACTAGAGGAATTTGATCTGAATGTACTTTATGTTGCAAGCAAAAAATTGGTGTTACGTTTTGTTTTTTTTTTTTGTGTGTGTGTGTGTGTGTGTGTGTGTGTGTGTGTGTGTGTGTGTGTGTGTGTGTGTTGTTTACGCGGAAAGACATAAATAAACTTTATTTACTAATTAGGCCCACCACTCAGATAGGTGGATATAAAGAGAAAATAATTATGAGTAGTTTTAAAATATTACAAACATTCTCTGAAGCCTAGAGGACAAATGGCTTTGTGAAAATATGGACTTCTGATTGTCTACAATCTTTAGGCACACACTCCCTCTATCAAGCTACACCTCTTTCTGAAACAAACCAGCCCTCCTCCTCCTGTCCAGCCTATTCTTCAGGCCCCTCCCCTCTCACAGATCCCATCTTTACAGATGGGTGTAGTGTAGTGACGTGTCAGTGCTGGTGTGGTTTAGAGCTCAGCTTTTCTCGGTAAACGAGAGTGAAACTTACTGACAGTCACTGATTACTAGAGGAGAAATGGCGCAGCAATTGATTCAGCTAGATCAAGAAAAACTGAGCTGTTCAATCTGTTTGGATCTTCTAAAAGAGCCGGTGACTATTCCCTGTGGACACAGCTACTGTATGAGCTGTATTAAAACCTACTGGGATGAGGATGATCAGGAGAAAACACACAGTTGCCCTCAGTGCAGGCAGAGCTTCACACCGAGGCCAGCCCTGGTGAAAAACACCATGTTTGCAGAGTTAGTGGAGGAACTGAAGAAAGTAGGACTTCAAGCTGCTTCACCTGATCATTTCCACGCTGGACCTGGGGACGTGGCCTGTGATTTCTGCACTGGGAGGAAGTTGAAAGCCTTCAAGTCCTGTCTGATGTGTTTGGCCTCTTACTGTGAACAGCACATTCAGCCTCACTACGATGTAGGTCCTTTAAAGAAACACACGCTGGTCGAAGCCACTTCAAAGCTTCTGGAGAACATCTGCTCTCGCCATAATGAGGTGATGAAGATTTTCTGCCGCACTGATCAGCACTGTATCTGTTATCTCTGCTCCATGGATGAACACAAAGGCCACGACACAGTCTCAGCTGTAGCAGAAAGGTCTGAGAAGCAGACAGAGCTCGGGGTGAGTCGTCAAAAAATCCAACGGAGAATCCAAAGCATAAAGAAAGATGTGAAGATGCTTCAACAAGACGTGGAGGCTATCAATCTTTCTGCTGATGAAGCTGTTAGTAAGAGTGAGAAGATCTTCACCGACTTCATTTGTCTCATTGAGGAAAAAAGGTCTGAAGTGAAGCAGCAGATCAGATCCCACCAGAAAACTGATGTGAGTCGAGTCAAAGAGCTCGAGGACAAGCTGCAGCAGGAGATAACTGAGCTGAGGAGGAAAGATGCTGATCTGGCGCAGCTCTCACACACAGAGGATCACCTCCATTTTCTGAACAACTACTCCTCTCTGTCACATCTGAGTGAAGCAACACGTTTACCCAGCATCAATCCTCAATCACAGCAGTATATTGAGGATGTGACAGCGGCAGTGTCACGGGTCAGAGATAAACTGCAGGCTGTTCTGAATGAGGAGTGGGGAAAGGTCTCGCTGAAAAATACAGGAGTCGATATATTACTGCAACATCAAGAGCCCCAAACCAGAACTGAGTTTTTGAAATATGCTTGTCAAATCACACTGGATCCAATCACTGCAAACACATTTTTGTCACTATCTAAGAGGAACAGAAAGGTAACATTGATGCATGAACAACAGGTGTTTTGGATTCACCCAGAACAATTCTTTAAATGGTGGCAAGTTCTGAGTAAAGAGGGTCTGACAGGACGTTGTTACTGGGAGGTGAAGTGGAGTGGTAAAGTTTTGATAGCCGTTGCATACAAGAATATCAGGAGAATGGGGACCAGGAGTGAATGTGGATTTGGATACAATGAGAAATCCTGGGCATTAGAATGTTACAGTGGTAGTTATACATTCATTCATAACGGTAATTGTACATCCCTCTCAGGCCCTCAGTCCTCCAGAATAGGAGTGTACCTGGATCACAGGGCAGGTACTCTCTCTTTCTACAGCGTCTCTAGAACCATGAATCTCCTCCTCAGAGTCCAGACCACCTTCACTCAGCCTCTCTATCCTGGTTTCTGGCTTCTAGGTTCTGCGGGAGACACTGCTGAGTTGTGTTAGCTCAAGTAGACAGGAGTAATTACACAGTGAGAGTTTGTGATCTTCATGTTGTATGTTTGGACCCTTTTAATGATGAAACGTCATGGGTGGTGATGTCTTTTTTTTTTTCTTTTTTTGTTTTTATTTACATCACAGATGTTTAATGAAAATGGTAAAAGGAAATGATTTGTTTTCTTCTGCTACACACAGTGAGGGTTAATCTACCTGCCAAAGATGTTCTGTTGATATTTGACTTTTATTTTGAAAAGACATGTTTAAATTTAATAAACCTTGTCCTGTACATGGGGAATAATACACTCCTGAGAAATGAATAATGAAAAACTATTACCATATCAGTGGGCTTAATTATATTTGTGTTAAAAGAACCACACATGTAAGACTTCAAATAACTCTTTGGAAGTTGGATTTGACTTTTGTTTGCTTGTTTGTTTGTTTTCTAGTTAATCATATGCTTATGGATGTAACTGATATAATTTTTTGTTTACATGTTTAATCACTATATTTATATTCTGTTGTTTGGAGAATAAATTGAATAGTGTGTACAACATTGCAAACTGTAAGGCCAATATAATGTTAACACAAAATTGAATAAAGTTTCTCTTTTAAGATCATTATTAGCACAATACCTAAACAAAACTCATTGTACCACAGGCTAATGTACAGTAGAAATGCCTAATAATAAAGATACAGCCTAGAAATGCACAGAGTTTTGCTCTTTTCTTTTAAATGATTTAACACTTTTTACAATTTTGCATTTTAACATGAATGAAAGAAAAAAGATTTAAATCAGAAAAGGAAAATGTGTTTTGATCAGTGTACTGCAGCAATGCACTTCGCCCAGCAAGCAGTGTTATTTTATATATTTATAGCATATCAAAGGGCCATGCCCACTGTTCATCCCCAATCACCTTTTTACCTCAAAGTATATATCATGTGAAGGAACATGGAGGCTTTAAATGGCAAATACGTCAGAATTAAATGTTGAGAGAGGTGAGCTTTTTATAAAAGCTCCTCCGTGGCTGTAATAGATCCAAGCAGGTTACTTGTTGTTTTTTTTCATGTTATGAAAGTGACAATGTAGTAATAAAGGAATAACTGTGAGTTTCAACAATGTATTGTGAACAGAAAGTGTTTTTTAATATTATGCTGGGGACACAGACTGTGACATCCCACTCAGACTCTTTGTATTTATTTCAGTTTTATTTCCTTTACAGTTTTATTTTTTAATTTCTTACCTCATGTATCTATGGATAATTCACTTCCTGCTTTTGTGGTTTTTTTTCGCCAGTTTATTTTGTTCATTAGTGACTCATTATCCGATCAGCTTCCTGTGTCTCAATACTCTATCCTCTCCCCTGCAGTTGCCAGATTGTCTTTTTACTACTTTAGTCAATCTTTCATATTATTCCCATTACCATTTTGTGTCTTCGTATATGGCTTTTTACCTGCTCCTGATTTTTCCTGTTGTCTGCTCCTCATCTGTATTTTTCTATTTTGAACTTTTACTTGGTTTCCCGTGTGATCCCTGCATTTGAGTCAATTCTCTGGTTTATGATTGTTACACAGTCAACAAGTGTAACTACCAAATTCTACCTGTAAAAATATGAACTTCAGATTGTCAACGGTCTTTTAGCACACAACCTCCCTCTCTCAAACTGCTCCTCTTTTTGAAAGAAACCCCAGCCTGATAACCTCTCCCTCCTCCTCCTGCTCTCAGAGTCCATTCAACAGATATTGTTTGTTCCCTCCCCTCTCACAGCCCTGCCTCTTTACAGATGGGTGTAAACTCCATGTAGTGACGTGTCAGAGCTGGTGTGGCTTAGAGCTCAGCTTTCCTTTGGTAACAGAAAGTGAAACTTACTGACAGTCACTGATTCCTAGAGGAGAAATGGCGCAGCAATTGATTCAGCTGGATCAAGAAAAACTGAACTGTTCAATCTGTCTGGATCTTCTAAAAGAGCCGGTGACTATTCCCTGTGGACACAGCTACTGTATGAGCTGTATTAAAACCTGCTGGGATGAGGATGATCAGAAGAAAACACACAGCTGCCCTCAGTGCAGGAAGAGCTTCACACCGAGGCCAGCCCTGGTGAAAAACATCATGTTTGCAGAGTTAGTGGAGGAGGTGAAGAAAGCAAATAGATCTACTTCACCTGATCATTTCTACGCTGGACCTGGAGACGTGGCCTGTGATTTCTGCACTGGGAGGAAGTTGAAAGCCTTCAAGTCCTGTCTGATGTGTTTGGCCTCTTACTGTGAACAGCACATTCAGCCTCACTACGATGTAGGTCCTTTAAAGAAACACACGCTGGTCGAAGCCACTTCAAAGCTTCTGGAGAACATCTGCTCTCGCCATAATGAGGTGATGAAGATTTTCTGCCGCACTGATCAGCAGTGTATCTGTTATCTCTGCTCCATGGATGAACACAAAGGCCACGACACAGTCTCAGCTGTAGTAGAAAGGGCTGAGAAGCAGACAGAGCTCGGGGTGAGTCGTAAAAAAATCCAACAGAGAATCCAAGACAGAGAGAAAGACGTGAAGGTGCTTCAACAAGAGGTGAAGGCTATCAATCTTTCTTCTGATAAAGCTGTTAGTAAGAGTGAGAAGATCTTAACCGACTTCATTTGTCTCATTGAGGAAAAAAGGTCTGAAGTGAAGCAGCAGATCAGATCCCACCAGAAAACTGATGTGAGTCGAGTCAAAGAGCTCGAGGACAAGCTGCAGCAGGAGATAACTGAGCTGAGGAGGAAAGATGCTGATCTGGCGCAGCTCTCACACACAGAGGATCACCTCCATTTTCTGAACAACTACTCCTCTCTGTCACATCTGAGTGAAGCAACACGTTTACCCAGCATCAATCCTCAATCACAGCCATATTTTGAGGATGTGACAGCGGCAGTGTCATGGGTCAGAGATAAACTGCAGGCAGTTCTGAATGAGGAGTGGGAAAAGGTCTCGTGGACAGTGACTCAAGTCGAAGTTTTACCGCTGCAAGGAGAACCTAAGACCAGAGCTGAGTTCTTGAGATATTCACAAGAAATCACACTGGATTCAAATACAGCACACACACGTTTGTCATTGTGTGTCAGGAACAGAAAAGCCACATTAATGAATGAGGACCAGCTATATCCAAGTCACCCAGACAGATTCCTTGAACTGTGGCAGGTCCTGAGTACAGAGGGTCTGACTGAACGTTGTTACTGGGAGGTGAAGTGGAGTGGTAAAGTTTCTATAGCAGCTGCATACAAGGATATCAGCAGAACAGGGCCCAGGAACAATTGTAGATTTGGATTCAATGACAAATCCTGGGCATTAAGATGTTACAATGGTACTTATGAATTCAGACATAACAATAAATCTACCTCCATCCCAGGCCCTCGGTCCTCCAGAATAGGAGTGTACCTGGATCACAGGGCAGGTACTCTCTCTTTCTACAGCGTCTCTAGAACCATGAATCTCCTCCTCAGAGTCCAGACCACCTTCACTCAGCCTCTCTATCCTGGTTTCTGGCTTCCAGGTTCTGCGGGAGACACTGCTGAGTTGTGTGAACTCAAGTAGACAGGAGTAATTACACAGTTTCATCTGCTACACACAGTGAGGGTTAAACTACCTGGCAAATATGTACCTTTGATATCTGACCTTTATTTTGAAAAGACATGTTTAAATTGAATAAGCTTGTCATCATATTCTGTACATGGGGAATAATACACACCTGAAAAACGACCGATGAAAAACTGTTACGATATCAGTGGGCTTAATTATATTTGTGTTAAAAGAACAACACATGTAAGACTTCAAATAACTCTTCTTACTTACTCTCTTACTCATATGTTTATGGATGTAACTCATATAATTTTTTGTTTACATGTTTAATCACTATATTTATATTCTGTTTGGAGAATAAATTGAATAGTGTGTACAACATTGCAAACTGTAAGGCCAATATAATGTTAACACAAAATTGAATAAAGTTTCTCTTTTAAGATCATTATTAGCACAATACCTAAACAAAACTCATTGTACCACAGGCTAATGTACAGTAGAAATGCCTAATAATAAAGATACAGCCTAGAAATGCAGAGTTTTGCTCTTTTCTTTTAAATGATTTAACACTTATTTTACAATTTTGCATTTTAACATGAAAGGAAAAAGATTTAAATCAGAAAAGGAAAATGTGTTTTGATCAGTGTACAGCAGCAATGCACTTCGCCCAGCAAGCAGTGTTATTTTATATATTTATAGCATATCAAAGGGCCATGCCCACTGTTCATCCCCAATCACCTTTTTACCTCAAAGTATATATCATGTGAAGGAACATGGAGGCTTTAAATGGCAAATACGTCAGAATTAAATGTTGAGAGGTGAGCTTTTTATAAAAGCTCCTCCGTGGCTGTAATAGATCCAAGCAGGTTACTTTTTTCTTTTTTTTCATGTTATAAAAATGACAATGTAGTAATAAAGGAATAACTGAGTTTCAACAATATATTGTGAACAGAAAGTGTTTAATATTCTGCTGGGGACACAGACTGTGACATCCCACTCAGACTCTTTGTATTTATTTCAGTTTTATTTTGTAATCTCTTACCTCACATATCTATGGATGATTCACTTCCTGCCTGTGTTTTTTTCTCTGCCAGTTTATTTTGTTCACTAGTGACTCATTATCCGATCAGCTTCCTGTGTCTCAATACTCTATCCTCTCCCCTGCAGTTGCCAGATTGTCTTTTTACTACCTGGTAGTCAAGCTTTCAAACCATTCCTATTGTAATGAATGTGAGTTTACTCCAGCAATAAATGCTGAAAATGTCAGAACCCTTGAATAAACACAAAGGGAAGTGATAATATACAAAAAGGAACAATCTTTATTAATACAGTATCTTGAAATTCATAAAAATGGATGGAGGGCTTCAACTGGACAAGGCAACAGTCATGAGGGAACATGGCTTCCTTTACTTTACCCACAGCACACAAAAGACTTGCTCTAAACACATATTCCCCACACTGCACACAGGGCTAGTCTTACTAGCGTTTGAGACACACCTTTGAAAACCGCACGCTATACTGCCAAACCACCCCCACCCGGCTAAGCTTTATCATAAGGCAATATTTGACATGCTGGCACCCTCCGCTAGGAGACACTACAGGTAAGACACACTGCCCCGCCCACGACTCGTCACTTCCCCTTTAATCAGCCCTCCCACTCCACACTATTAAAACTACAAAAATGGCCGACCACACAACTCATATACATAACAAATAATCAACGCAAGGAAATAAGGATAAAGTTCATAAAATATACTTAACTCGCCTACACGGCGAGACTGTCCCCCGGGGTCTGAGCTTGTGCCGCCGTCCAACTCCCCGGGGAAACGGTTTCGCTGGACGGCGAGACAGAAACCGGTTGGCAACCGGATTAAAGTGGAGACAATACGCCAGGTAGCACACAGGGAGCAGTAGCAGCACAACACTCTCTAAAGTGGGCCCTAGTTTGGCTACAGGAGGCACTCAGCCTCCCCTCCTAACACAGGAACAGCTTCCCCCTGACTACCTGTCTTCGTCCCCGGCAGCTCTATATCACTGCGAACGACACCCTCGCTACCAGAGTGCCGCGCCGCCAAACGTGTCACTCCAACCCCGTCATGCTCCCTCTGTCCGTCTTTTCACTGTTCGTCTCTCCTCATGTTGCCATCAGTCACAGCTGCACCAAATCATTCATTAAACACGAGTCCCCTCTCCTGACGTCACTCACTGGGGGGAATCCCCCTTACTCTTGCTACACTATTACTAGTTTGTAATATGTTCGTATATGGCCTTTTACCTGTTCCTGATTTTCCTGTTGCCTGCTCCTCATCTGTATTTTTTTGCTACACTGACTGACATCACATGTATGAACTCAATTCAGGCTTAAGTAAAACATTGTGAACTTTTACTTGGTTTCCTGTGTGATCCCTACCTTTGATTCACTTCCCTGGTTAATGATTGTTAAACAGTCACCAAGTGTATTCTAACTCTATAAAAAATATGAACTTTAGATTGTCAACATGGGACAGTCTATGGGACAGTGGGCTGGCCCGGACGCTCGGCTTCTGCATGATGATTGGATGATCTGTCTGAGGCTGAGTCCCTTTTTGATTGACAGCGAAATGAGCGAATCACCGATATTGAAGTATAACCATCCACCGGAGCATTTTTCAAGTTTTTCATTGCGTTGTTCGGAGTTGAGCTGGAGACGTTACTGATCCTCAGCGACTTTGTCTTTGTTAAAAACGACTAGCGTTGTGTTTGGCGACTCTCTTCTGTCACTGCGAATTTACATATAAATAAACGGACACATTTTATGATGTAGGCCGAAAATGAGCTTCCCCTCCTTGTAAGACCGGCAGCCGCCACTGTTACTGACAGTCACTGATTCCTAGAGGAGAAATGGCGCAGCAATTGATTCAGCTGGATCAAGAAAAACTGAACTGTTCAATCTGTCTGGATCTTCTAAAAGAGCCGGTGACTATTCCCTGTGGGCACAGCTACTGTATGAGCTGTATTAAAACCTACTGGGATGAGGATGATCAGAAGAAAACACACAGCTGCCCTCAGTGCAGGAAGAGCTTCACACCGAGGCCAGCCCTGGTGAAAAACATCATGTTTGCAGAGTTAGTGGAGGAACTGAAGAAAGTAGGACTTCAAGCTGCTTCACCTGATCATTTCCACGCTGGACCTGGGGACGTGGCCTGTGATTTCTGCACTGGGAGGAAGTTGAAAGCCTTCAAGTCCTGTCTGATGTGTTTGGCCTCTTACTGTGAACAGCACATTCAGCCTCACTACGATGTAGCTCTATTAAAGAAACACACGCTGGTCGAAGCCACTTCAAAGCTTGAGCAGAACATCTGCTCTCGCCATGACGAAGTGATGAAGATTTTCTGCCGCACTGATCAGCAGTGTATCTGTTATCTCTGCTCCATGGATGAACACAAAGGCCATGAAACAGTCACAGCTGTAGCAGAAAGGGCTGAGAAGCAGACAGAGCTCGGGGTGAGTCGTTTTAAAATCCAACAGAGAATCCAAGGCATAAAGAAAGATGTGAAGGTGCTTCAACAAGAGGTGAAGGCTATCAATCTTTCTGCTGATAAAGCTGTTAGTAAGAGTGAGAAGATCTTCACCGACCTGATCCGTCTCATTGAGAAAAGAAGGTCTGAAGTGAAGCAGCAGATCAGATCCCACCAGAAAACTGATGTGAGTCGAGTCAAAGAGCTCGAGGACAAGCTGCAGCAGGAGATAACTGAGCTGAGGAGGAAAGATGCTGATCTGGCGCAGCTCTCACACACAGAGGATCACCTCCATTTTCTGAACAACTACTCCTCTCTGTCACATCTGAGTGAAGCAACACGTTTACCCAGCATCAATCCTCAATCACAGCAGTATATTGAGGATGTGACAGCGGCAGTGTCACGGGTCAGAGATAAACTGCAGGCAGTTGTGAATGAGGAGTGGGAAAAGGTCTCACTGAAAAATGCTGGAGTAGAAGTTTTACCGCTGCAAGGAGAACCTAAGACCAGAGCTGAGTTCTTGAGATATTCACAAGAAATCACACTGGATTCAAATACAGCACACACACGTTTGTCATTGTGTGTCAGGAACAGAAAAGCCACATTAATGAATGAGGACCAGCTATATCCAAGTCACCCAGACAGATTCCTTGAAATGTGGCAGGTCCTGAGTACAAATGGTCTGACAGGACGTCATTACTGGGAGGTGAAGTGGAGCGGGATGGTTTTTATAGCAGTTGCATACAAGGATATCAGCAGAACAGGGACCATGGATGAATGTGGATTTGGATTCAATGACAAATCCTGGGCATTAAGATGTTACAGTGGTACTTATGAATTCAGACATAACAATAATTCTACCTCCATCTCAGGCCCTAAGTCCTCCAGAATAGGAGTGTACCTGGATCACAGGGCAGGTACTCTCTCTTTCTACAGCGTCTCTGGAACCATGAATCTCCTCCACAGAGTCCAGACCACCTTCACTCAGCCTCTCTGTCCTGGATTCTGGCTTCCAAGTTGTATTGGAGGCACAGCTGAGTTGTGTGAGCTCAAGTAGACAGGAGTGTTAAGTGTGATTCATCTTTGGCCTGTATGTTGAGGTTTGTGTGTACTGCAGAGATCAAGTTTTCAAGTTTTCAAGATCAGCAATTCAATAAAATTGTGAAAAAAAAAAAAAAATAATGGTATAGATTCAACTATTTTGTTTGATGTAACTTGATTGTTATATTTACCTGACATGTTCATTATGTCCTGTGCAAGGAAAATACTGCATATGCAAAATGTCTAATCAAAAATCTTGTTTTTTTGTTTGTCTTCTTTTGTCCTACTAAAAGTTGAATTTGGTGATTATATGAGCTACAAAATGAAAAAAATCCATATATATAAAATTATTTGTTTGTTGCTTTGGAAGAATCATCTGCCAGACAAATGTAATATTAAGTTAAATGTTTTCTTTTTAGGTGTTTTATGTATTCATGAACATAATTTGTAGGAGTTAAACTTTTTACTACCTACATACTGTTGTCTGGATCACATACTGTGCTGCTGTTGTAATGATATTGCAAAATCACATTACTTTTTAGGAAAAAATAAATGTTTTAAGATGATTATTATGAAATTTAGCAAAACTGGCTAAAGCGATATCATTTTTAAATATAATCTTCTGAAAAAGAATTTGCTAAACAGCTTTTAAAGTGTGTATTAAAAGTGTTGTTACTTTTTAACAATTTTAGGAAACATCAGTGAAAATGTATTGCTCAAGAATATACAAATAAATAAATTGTTTACCAGTCACCATTTGAACAGTCTATTTTTTGAGTAAAATTGCACACAAAAATCAGTCACTTTAATACAAAATTTCTTCTCAATCAGTCAACTGTTTAAGATCTTTAGGTAAAAGATAGGCACACAAGGAGATTGATGAAGGAAATCAAATAACCTTTGGTGGAGGTGACTTATTTTTACCAGAAATAGCACAATCATAAAATGAATGAAAAGTTTCTAAATATTGACAGTTTTTCTGAGGAAAACAGTTCAAGTGAAGTTTTACTTTCAGATTTATTACACAACTTTTGAACATTCCACAACAATCATGCAGGAATAAAATGGGAATTATACAAAGCTTTACAGGCGTCGCCAATCACACTTTAGGAATAACTGAGCTTCACATCTTCTCAAAAACACTCAAAATGTGAGGTAATATTTTTTTAAATCATCATCTACAGACAACAGACCATGTGTTGATTTATTGCTGAAGATGGTGAGAGAAAAAAATCACTCAAAAAACAATAATGTGAAAACAACCATTAATATCTGTGCCTCATGTAGGCGCTGATTTAACTTGAAATATTATGTCTAAAAATGACGAGAATGTCAGTAAATTAACCACTTTATTGAGTCTATTTTAGAAAATCCACCTTCTATAATCCTCCTTTAATCCCTTATGCTTTCTGCAGTGTCCTGCTCAGAGGGTCATGATCCAAAATGTCAGTGCCTTTCATCAAGTAAACAAAATTCAGAAAAAAAAAATAGTTTTTAGCAACACATACACCTTGGCCATACACTGAACAAAATATTTTAGATTAGAAACTCAAAGCTTCATAGTGAAACAGCTGAGGTTACGCTTTACACTGGCAATACATCACGATTACACTGTCATCATCTCAAGGTCATTTTCACCATTTAGAACAAGTCAGTGAGATAATATGACACACAATCATTGTGATGTGCAGGTGTTCTTAAATTGTTTGCGACAGTTCAACCATGTCAAACACTTGGCCGACCACAGCCATCTTTAATACTAGTCTAAACATAGTCCCCCTTACATAGCCATAGCTAACATTAATAACTTTTAATTTTTCTTTCATCGGCCTGAAGCTGAAACATGTTCCTGGGGTTTTCCGTCCACATTCTAAGCTAAATTAATATCTACTGCTACTGTACTAGATTTGTACAACTCCTTTTATTAACTGAGTCAATGCGACAATTATTTGTTAGCATTCAATGACAATACATCCCCTTAGGCCACAGCCAGCCGAAACTTTTGTGTTCTATAACACAAATTATTAACAACCCAGCCCTACAACTTAACCTTGCGCTAGCCTGATAAACAGACTTCACTGAATCACAGACCACATTGACATGACAGGCTAAGCTAATCTTTTGCAACAGGATATCATGCTCTTAACTCCATATGCTAGCTAGGGATGGTACAGTTCTGAAAAACCTTTCTGAATTTGTTACTTTAATTTTTATTCAACTGTTTATTTTTTTCACCAAACACTAGTTTAAACAAGCTCAAGACTTTTGTGGGTCTTCACATCTAGCTAGCTGTGGAGCAGCTGCTAGCAAATTAGCTGTAGCTGCTGAAGTGACAGTAGATACCCAGTTAGCTAAGAATATGGACATAAAACAGAAAAACGGAAACAGAAAAACAGGAAAAAGAAGGGCAAAACATGTTTCAGCTTTTCAGTAAGAAAGCTTCAGTAAGTTTCAGAAGCTATTGCAAAAGGCCCTTTTCACAGCAGATACATTTTGAAGATGTTACTAGGAATATTAATGATCTATTTAAGTGTCCCAGTAAGACATGACAGTGTGACAGTGAACCAGCATGCACAATACCAGGACCCTGAAACTGAAGCAGCTAATGGAATTAAACCATCTTTCATTTTATATACACCTGTGTTTTTAAAAATATCTGTGGTGAAAAAGTCAGATCTAGCTAACAGTGCATCCTACCAGCATGTTTATCCCATAAGGCTCCACCTCACTGTGTGAACCTAAAAATCAAAAAATAAAATGTTTGAAAATAAAAAATAAAACTGTGGAGAAAAAAAAAAACACACGGCTACATAAGAATTATATATATAAAAAAAGAAATATTTTCAATGTAGAATAACAGATGGATATAAAAACAAAGAAATGTAAGGAACTAAGTTCACATCATCAATGTATTGCAATTTACAATGCATTCAAGAAACTGTCATTTTAATCATTTGAACAATGAACAATTACACCTGCATGTTTAGAGCTTCAAATGCAACAATTATTTAAAGGTTTTGTATTAATCCAAACAATCATACTATCTTTTATGGGATAGTGGTCTCCAAGTGCTTTTTCATTTACATTTTTATACAGGAGTTTTCGTGCTAAGGTTATTTTGTGAGATGTTGGAATACTTTTTAACTCAAATAGCATAAATGCCTACAGTTAGACAGCATCATGTTCTTTGGTAAAGGAGGATGAAAAGGAGGTTTGTATGTGACTTTTCAGTAACCTCTGTTTAACACTATACACATAAACAAAACAAGTGATAAAAGGCCTTGTACACCAGTATCAAAATACAACAATAATAAAAAGTGATAGTATCAAAGTTTCCACAGTACAATACATACAACAGATTATTGCACCAAATTTAACCATTTAAAATTTTGTCATGAGAGATTAACTCAGTGAAGCTGTACTATTTCTTCACTCTTAGGATTTGAATTCCCTAAATATGAATAATAGCAAAAACTGAACGTTCATCTGGGCAAGTTGTAAGATTCCATTTTAGCACTAAAAACTCATTTGCCAAATGATGAAAACTTGAACACAAAAAAGGGTCAAGCAGTTATTTTGGATCAAAATCATATTTTAACTGCATGTGATTGACTATATTTACGATGCATTAAGCATGTTGTGAAATAATTCATTTTGAACCAATAAAACTATCTGTTGAACTTAATTATTACATGTTACATCAACATCAACATCAACACCAGCTTCCCCAACAGTCAGATTCAAGTGCTCTACAGGGCTATGATAATGTACCTAGAAAAACATAATAAATAGCAACATAAACCTTGTGATTATTTTTTTTTTAAACTGAGAGATTGATACCACTAGTTTACGAGTGAAAAGTAAGAAGCAACATGTAGAAATGAAAACATCAATACATAATTGTCAAACAAATGAGACCATGACTGCGATGATTTTGCGGCCTCCGTCTAACACCTGTGGTAGTGGTTATAAATGCCATAGAAGTTTTCATGACCGTTGAGTTGTTCTTCTCTGGCATGTGTTTACGAGGATCAACATGCTGGAAGTACTTTTTCTGTTTACTGAGAACTGTTTTCCTCTGTTTCTGATATCTCTGACAACTCCTAGCTTCTTGTTCTGGAGAAACAGCGCCCCCTGCCTGCTCAGTGTTAAAATACAAAATATAGGCCAGCAGTGGATGACAGTCTCCTCAGTGATGGTCTTATTTGTTCACAATAATCTCCTCACCATTTAATTGCAAATCCAAACATATGTCTTGCATGTATTTGTTGATCTGTGAACAGGATACCAATAACATATTTGAGGCTTTAGCTTGTGTAAATGTCTCTCACACAAATGTCACATCAAATAAAGGATATTAATAATAAATGCTTTTCTTTTTAAGAAAAGTTTAGTTTTAAAAGTTTTACAACTACAATGTAACTGCCATATCAATCATAGTCAGTGGATTCAGCGACACATTCATGTTAACAAATCTGATATTTTGAATATCAGTCTGCTCATTTTCTCAGGACAAATGTAACATTAAAGCAAAATCTACCTTTACTTGTTCTTGAATTTTGCTTCTTAAATAATTTTTTTTATCCTTTTTTAGACTTAATACTGCAACTAGAGGTTTTGATGTATAACACAAGAGATACAGGGTAATTCTTTGGGTGACAGACTTAACCTACAATGTGACAAGACAACATTACAAAGCATAAGTAAAGCAATGTAGTCTCTCTCAGTAAAGTCTCAAATGGTACAAAACTGACCTGACTAGGCCAGATTTTGTGATATGAGTTGGGACATTACAACAAAAATCACAAAATGTAATTAGATTTGATAATAACCACAAAATAAACATTTTAGAAATATTGCCAAGAGACATTTTAGGACAAGACTAAGACTGGGTGTTGTTTTGCTGCTTTAAGGTGAGACAAAATTAAATTGTTTTTGAGAAATTTGGGATGTTATGTAAATCTGAAAAAAAAATGAAGTTGTGTACTAAAACAGCTATAAAAACATGTAATTTTGGTATCTGTAGCAGCACCCAGCCCATGGCAAGCTGACAAAATTAAACCAGAGAAACCATTTCCACCAGTAGTACAGTCACCAATTTCCCATTGCTACAGTGAGGTTCTGACTCAACTGTCTCATGGCCGAGACGAACTTCCTCAAATTTTACAATTATGAAGAGCGATCAAGTACCAAGCAGAACATATAAACACTGTTCATCCACATGTTTACCCACAGACAACTTTTCCATGGCGAGAAAATAAACAAATGAGGAAACTGCAGTCCACACTGACCAATTTTTAGTAGGTTGTAAGAAAAAGCAGGAGGTGAACTTACTTGCTGCAAAAATTTCTCACAAGAATCTGTAAGTTGACTCGGCTGCTTTGACAACATTTGCATGCAAATAATATGTAGACATTTTGTGGGGGTCGGGGCCTTAAGAGTGTGAACAGTAAGAGTTTATTGGCAGGAGTCATGTTTTTTTTTTTTTTAGTGTTTAGTCTGGAGCTGAGTGGAAAAGGTTGTATTGACTAGGTTTCAGTTTTTGGGTGCTGTTAGCCTGGGAGATTATCTGTACATCTATCGCTGAAGTGCCATTGAGCAAGGCACTTAACCCCCAACTACTCCTCTGAATCTGCTCAAAAGCAGACACTCAAACTGAAGAAATTGAATCCAGTGATATGTCTCCCATTTCACAAATGTGACATATACGAGGTACTACATATAGCATTTTGTTGTTTTAAATTAAAGACTACTATTTCCAACAAACCTTCCTGCTGCAAAGACAGCACTGCTACTTGTCCCTCTCTTCCATTCTTTCTTGCTTTGCATGTGTTTGTTTAAAGAGCAAGAACAAGAGTGTATATCCAACAACAAAAGCTGATATGATATTCAAATTGTAGTGTAATGGACATGCAAAGGAAAATTTGTCCTTGTTTTGTGCTGTACATCACATAATTGTGGTTATCAATCCTCTCACCTATGGTCTCCTTTGTTTACAGTAATTAAACATTTTAATATGAATGTTTCAATCATTTGTTGATGTTAAAATGCAACATATAGCACACTAAAAATGAAACTTGTCATGAATGACCACTACAGTTGTTAGTAAGATAAAAGCCCCTTGCTCAATGAACATCAGGTATTACTTTTTTTCCCAAGAAAACGGATACAGCAATGAGTAGTTAAACCCTTCACAGGCTATAGATCTCCAGCAGTAACACTGAAAAACTAACAGTATTATATCAGGTGGCAGGCACACAGATGACACCAACACGAATCATAGAAAATCTCCTCCTCTCAGCCTCACAACAGACTGGGAAAGAATAGTCACCCCCAGTATCTGGCAGGAAACCTGTACACGTGCGTCTCTTATTCCACTGATGGAGGGTGAGTAGAAACAGGGTAGAGCTTTTACTCATTAGCCGTCTTCTCTTTGCAGGAAGGTTCACAGAGGATTTCTTTGTGTGGTAGCGGATAGGGGAAAGCAGCTCCACTGCAGGTGCTACCATAAGCCAGTTTGTTGAGGCGAGAGAGGCCTTTGATGCTGCCAGGAGGCCGTCCGGGGCTGACCTTGTACCCCGCTGCTCTGGTTGTACCTAGCGGTCTTCCAGGGCTTGTCTTGAAACCAGCGGCTCTGGTGGTGCCGAGGGGTCGTCCCGTACTGGTTCTGTATCCGGCTAGCTTGGTGGTTCCCAAAGGCCTCCCGCGTCTGCCTGTCTTCCCAACAGCTTTGTTCTTCTTCTTGGGGTCATCTGGTGCTTGATCAGTGCTTTTAATGCCTGGTATTTTTCCAGATGAGCGGGGGTCACCCCCAAGCACTTCCTGTCTCTGGCACACCATGGGCTTGTGACTCTGGGTGGGTAAGGCCATGGGCGTCAGTGCCATCTGAAGGGACGACGGAGGGGGAGGAGGGTAGAACTTGTTGGACTGGGAGGTGCACAGGTCAAAGTGGGAGGCGGGGTGGTGGTGGCCGTCCTCTGCTAAGCACGACGGCCTGCTATTCATGCAGAAGTCACTGCTTGTCACCTGGCGCATCATCGTCTGCTGGGAGTCGGAAATAAATTGTAAGTGTGTTATTGTTACACAAAGATAAAAAGAACAATACAGTATCTCTGTATAGAGTCGGTACTGTTGTCTGGGCACTTCAATGCCAGGTAAAAATCAAATGAAACTGGGGACAGACAGCAGAACTGCGAAACAGCCTCAACTCTGCAATAAAATTTTTAAATGTCAGTATTTTCCCCTGAATAAAAAAAAGAAGCCTGTACACGTTTAGGGCTTTACAACTTCATATTTCTTAGGTTTGGGGTTTTGGTGAGTCCCAAGCCTAAAATATACAAGGGGGTAACACCCTGAATGTGTCCAGCTTTACACACCCTAGCATAAAGACTAGCCTAACGTCAGGGCTGTCTCACTGACTGCATGGAGGACAGTCCTGAATGGTTTAGCTGTACACTGTTCTTTATCAAAGGTGGAGAAGTTAACCAGACATGCATCTTCTAACTTTAGCGATGCATTCTGTTCTCCATGCTGTTGTTTTCTTCTGTGAGGGTGTCTGGATGTGCCTGTCTGCCTGATCCTGCCTAGAGTCCATCACAAAAATTTCCACATTCAAAAGCAAACTCAAAACTTACCTATTGTCTGAGACTTATGGTCAATTATTCTGTCTCTGTGTCTCTGTGTGTGTGTGTGTGTGTGTGTGTGTGTGTGTGTGTGGTTGTACAGTTTGTTACATATGTGTCACATGGGGCAGGGGTTTCTATTTGGTTGTGATGATGTTTTGGGTTGTTTTTTTGTGTGTATATGTATGCCTTTGTTTTTTATATTTTGTCTTTAAATGTAAAGCACATTGAGGTTACTTGTAATGAAATGTGCTACAGAAATAAAATTGCTATTGCCACTGACTCCAGGTGGGTCACACTCAGTTTGTTGTGTTATGCTGGGTTTTCCAAGCCAAACTCCTCAATTGTGCTCGTTTTCTTTTGTTTGTTTCAGATATATAAATGAATATAAATGCTGTATGAATATATGAGCAGTTTTGTAATTGGATTGTGGTCCTGATGTCCTGCAGCCCTTTTCCTGAGGGGAGTTGATCAAACAGTCCATTGGACAGGTATCCCTAATGAATTTGAGCTAAAAAGACAAGCAAAGTGTCATGGATGGAGGAGCAGTTTCCTCAACTTGGCAACCCAAAAGTTGTCCTTATTGATCGCTTATAACTGACAAGGCATTAGTAAATTATATATTCACCATTAATAAAGCCCTTTATAAAGGATGCCTTATCCAGAAAGTGACATCTTTGCAGCAATGCAATACTCTTGACTAATATGAGGCTATGAATACTTTTAAAAAAAGCACAAGTCAGACTGCTGCTGATGAGATTCCCGTCTCCTCTCCTCTGCAGAACAGGACAGAGGATGCAAGGAGGTGTGGACTTTACTATCACATACTCTACACGGTCTGTAGTAATATTCATTCACAAAAAAATATGCAGAGATTCCGCATCTTTGCGTCCAGACGACAAAACCCCTCCTGCTCTGCGTGTCACTTTGCTCCTGTGTAACGTTACAACACAAGCGTCGTTTTGGCCCGAATAACGGTTTTTGTAGGGAAAAGGTTTAAAACCTGGACGAAGAGGCGGAAAAGTGCGCACATACCTGGTATACGGCTCACATTTAAGCCGTATAATCGACCTAAAACACACCGTCCGGCCACCTACGTTAGCACTAAGGTTACTGTACCTCGATTGTTCGCAGATCTCGGAGCAGAAAGGGTTAAGGAGAAAAATGATCTTTCATCTCTCAAAGCGCGAGTCCATCCATTTCCCCAAATATTTTCGCACCACAGGACATCGGCCAGCTAGCGAGTGATCACCACATCGGATTGTGTCGGTGTGAACGTTAAGAAGACGCGAGATGGTTCGGCTGGACGCGTTTTTATTTCCCTGCTCCAGAGGTTTGGATAAGAAACGCAGCCATTTTCCATTAAAAATTAATAAGACGGGGAGCGCAGTCTGAGCATGCGCAGAGAGGGTTTTCTCCTTCCCCTCCTGAACCACTGACATCCAAACGCTGTTTTCACTTTAAAAACTGTTCATTTGCATCTAACAAGCGGCGATACTGCTGCAAAAACCTGCTTTATTTTTTTAATATTATCCCGATTGTCCCGACATTGAGCCATAATTCAGTTGCACTGCTTAACAAATAGGACTTCACACTACTGATGAATAATAAACAAACGAAAGGCTATTTAAAAATTAAAGCAGTCGGCAAGAGTGCACAGCATCAACTAGATTTGTTCAGGCAAACATTTGGACACATCGAGTTAACTTCCTTAGCAGCACACTGTTTTATTTTTGAGGGAAAGTAAAAACATCTTTCATTTGAGGATTTCTTCATAAAGACAATGGCTGGTTTGTGGCTTTTACATACAACACAGTGTGATCTGACCCAAAAAAAAAAAAAAAAAAAAAAAAATAAAAAAAAAAACATTAAAGAAAATGTGTCTTATATTTAAAGACATATTTTATTTAACTTATTGTGATGGTTTAAACACAATGAAAGTGAAAACAGCATCACATTTTGGTATATATGGTTTGTTGGTATAAAAATCACTGGAAAACCATGTGACGGACAGAAGTAACTAAAGGGGGAAAAATAAAAACAAAACCATACACTAAACTTAGGTTACTGACGTTAACATTATTAAAAATATAGACTAAAATATTCTTCAACCAATCTGATGAAAAAGTAGAGATGACAGGAGACTGTTAACAAATGGAAACTCCTCCAGCAAGCCTCGGTTTCTCCTCTACAACACTTTGTACCGGCCTTTGCTCGTTGGCTGGTAGGAATTTTGCTAGAGAGAGAGAAAAAAAAGAAAAAGAAAGGGCAATGAGTAACATATTTTATTATTGTTATTTGCTGAATAACAAACCTGTCAAGTTATATTTTTCCTGCTCTGAAATCTAATGCCAGTAATAATATGAAACAGGCTCCAATTTAGCCTGATGTCAACATGATATCCAATACTGGTTATTGACTTCAAGAAGCAGAGGATACTTACCAATCTGATGAGCTCTTCCTTGATTAATCGTGTAATCTCTGTTTTGGCTTTCTGCACAGCCAGTTCGTTAGCACCTGGGAAAACAAAAAACATTAATACACAGTATATGCAGTTCTATTAAACACAAGGAAACAGGAAACATCAGATTCCAGAGATAGATAAAGTTGGGAGTTGAATTGTGTAATGTGGAAAAATTCCCAATAGAATTAGCACTGAGACATTATTTCCCAGACACATACTCTCAATAGCCAGGTAGATCTTGCGTTCTCCCTCCTTAGGCTCTTTGCCTGGAGGGAAATAGGTTCCTCTGATGGTGATAGCAGCTTCAGAGTATTCACCGATCCTCTGCAGAGCTTCTTTAGATGTCACCTTCCACCTGGCCGTCTGAGGAAGAACAGAATAAAGAACATTTTTATATTACTTTTATTAGATACTGTTCTTTCTCCATTTGCGTTTCCATCAAAGGAGAAAACAGCAGGATGATACTAATAGCTCTGAATTAAAAAACCATGTGAAAATATTTTGGAATTTTTGAGATGCTTGATTCTAAAATCAGCCAGCAATAAAAACACAGCACAGTGTCCTGCTGACCTGAGGGAAGTCATTGATCTCCAGTTCCTCTTCATATCTCTTGACGGTCTCTGCCTGTTCAGCTGCCTGCCGCTCCTCCTCCAGCTTCTCCACAGGGGTGTAGTTCAGCTTGGCATTGATCTTCTCCGCCAGCTGCTCAGCGATGGTCTTGGCTGACACAGAGGGAGTCATGATGGTGCCGCCCCGCAGGATGGCGTTTGTGGCCTGCTGCATCACGTCCTGTAGGGTGAACAGAAAAGCCAGTTTGACCTTGTTTGGTAATTTGGGAGGAAACAAATCTTGACAGAACACACAATACATATAATACACATATCATACCAAAGAAAAGAGACATTAGGTGTACAGCTTCTGGAATAAATAAGAACTGATGGTCTCTTTTTATATTTATGGTCATCTTGACCAACAACCTGAGGGCAGTGACCACAGATGGGACAATAATCAGTGTAACAATATATATTGTGATTAAAAATATAGTCACGGCGCAACACACAGATTAATAAGAGTGAATATGTTTTGAAGAGCACATCATTCAGATTTTATTCCAAATAGAAAAGACCACACCCAAGCAGGTGGCTAACCATTGTCATGTCACAATCTACAGTATATGCTTGCGTCACACCGACAACAGGTCTGGCAGACACCTGCACTTGTATATCTCTTTGACGTACCTGAGCCTCAGCGCCCAGGTTCTTCTGAGCGTTGATCTTGAGCGCCAGCCTCTTGGCCATCTCCAGTTTCTGGATGTTTCCAGCAGATGTGGGTCCGAGGCCTGGCAGCCCTCCGGAGGCAGCTGCCGTGGTGGCAACCGCCCCTGCAGGACCGGTGGCTGCACCGGGAGCAGACAGATCCTTCACCCTCTTCTTGGAGTTGAACATGCTCTCGATTTGCTCCTCGATCTGAAGACAGTTAAACGTAGGGGATATGATTGAGATGGGTCGGACTGGTGTTGATTAATTAGTAAAGATTATGTAATTGTGACTGGGAAGACGGCACACTTAAGTTACCAAAAAGTAACTACATCAACAATATGATGCTGAGAGACAGTTGATTTGTCCATTTAATGAAAATTTGTCAACAATTTAAATCATGAACAATGAAATTTAAAAAGGTTACTCACATCTAGGGCTCCATCCTCGTCATCAGAGTCCTGCAATCCGAGAGCAGCTTTCTGCAGCTTCTTTCTCTCATTGGCCAGGGCGTGTTCTGTCTCGTCGAACTTGAAGCCTTTTCCTGAAAAGCCACTGCTGCTCTTAATGGTCTTACCCTCCTGCGTGGATGAAGAAGGGTAGAAAACACAGGAAGAAAAATAGGGGGGAAAAAAAGCTTCAATATCAAGGTGATGATGTAGAATTAACACTCACATGGATCACTTTTAAAAGCGGTACAAGAATATCTTCCCTCACAAATTTCTTGATCACCTATTGGTCCTACTTGCTAATTGTGTCACCTCAAATTCCCAGTGACTGAACCCAATTAACTATGTATCTTAGCAAGTCTTCTTAATACAAATCAAGTGTTAAATGAATGAAGAGTGAAATATAAAAACAGTGTGCCAGTACTAGGTACATGTAAAGAAAGTGTTGTGGAAATTCGTCCAACAGTGTTTGAAATACAACAAACTAAGATGATAATAGTTTTCCAGTATTATGATACATAAATTCTGGGTAATGAAATCCATTACAATCAGAAATTCAAACAATTATCACCACCTGCCTTTACATTCAGCCTAGTATAGCTTTAAGACTGTATGTAGCTTTGAGTCACACACACTCTTATCTGATTCCTCTTTCCCCTCATCTTACCGCTTTCTGTTGGTCTTTGAAGGAGGCCCAAAGCTGCTCCAGCTCTGGTGGGACAGGAGAACCTGAGAGCTCTAAGGCTTTGATGATGTCACCAGCATAGCGAACCTGATCCTCTGTGATGAAGGTGTAGGCGTATCCCTGGAAGAAGGAACAAGATGTAGAAAAAAGTAGATGTGAAGAGGATTTATTTATTTATTTTACCTTAAAAAGGCTTCAAAATCATTTTGATGGCACACTGACTTGTAATAGTGAGAATCTGCGCCCCAAATGCCTGGTCTTACAAAAGTTAACTTGGGCTGAGCAGGTATGATCTCCCGCAAGAAGCATGTAATGCTTTACAGCCCTGTCATTCACCACTGACTGGGTTTACAGCTAGCTATAAGAAGAAGCTAGCCTGGTAATCTCAGTACGGACATCATGGCAGAGGCGAAGAGATTACCTACTATCATCTACATTTTAGCACACAGCTGCTGTGGGTTCAGATGTTTTCGGTCAATCAGATGAGCTGAATGCTATCTTGACAGGAGTGGACAGCTTGATTGCTGGTTTGTACTGAGATGAAGATTTTGTGTTCGTTGCTTGAGTGATTGATGGGCTTGGTTTTCTGCAATTGAGCTGCTAGCTTCTAGAGGTACTCTGCTTCCACCTTCCTCTAATTACCACTTGTGGCGCGAAGATCAATGTTGCTGTTGTCAAAACCTGGTACCTGAATTACAGTGTAACTCAACCTCCAACAGTCCAGTTGGAGATCCGGGTGTGTTATGCTCGCACCTTTCTCAAAGCTCCCTCTGGAGCGACAAAACAGAAGTACTCCTCAAGACCTGTAAACAGATGTTGACATGGAAAATTGAACTGCCCTTTAAGTGACTGACCTTGTTGCCTGCTCGGCCTGTGCGTCCGGCCCTGTGGACGTAGTCCTCGTAGTGGTTGGGACAGCTGTAGTTGACCACCAGGATCAGCTGCTTGACATCCAGGCCTCTGGCTGCCACAGAGGTGGCCACCATCAGACGACAAGCTCCATTCTTGAAGTCATTGATGATGCTGTCTCTGTCGTACTGGTCAATTCCTAAGAGGAGCACAGGAAATTAATATATGAAAGACCAAAATACTAGACATATCCATGGCTAAAAGCAATAAACAGATGCAGATGTACTTCAAAATAATTGCTTTCACCCTCATCTATCTACAGAGTTATGGTAAGGCAGAAATCAGAGCCTTAAGCTCTTTGTACACAGCCTGTTCAAGGCGGGAATGTTGTGCATTTATTCCTCCTTACTGTTCGACATAAAAGGCACAAACACAAAATGGGGTTCCATTGTTACACTGCATTGTTGTTCCGCCTTTAAGCCAGCAGTGGAGGTTGTCACAGAGCTGGATCGATGTCGGTGTAAAAGGGAGAGGCGGAATAGTGGGACGGATGCCGCACTTTTGTGCTACATGCCACGTCTGATTCCTCAATGCCAGCATGCTATCTAAAATCATTTACTGGGCTTGTTTGTTTTAGAGTAAACAAGCATAGCTGTTATAATGAAGGGTCTTCTTATCAGAAACATAGCAGGAGCTCTGTTTAAAAGGATTCAAAATATCCAAATATCCAATATCCATCACCTAACTGTAACCAGTGCCTTACCTCCATGCAGAGACATGCACGGGTACGAGGCTTTCATCAGGTCTT